CCCCACCCCGCCAGCCTGCTCACTCCCAACTTCCCTTCCCTACAGGCCTGCTTGCCCACAACTGCGCCCCCACTCCCAGCCAGACTGATTGCTCTAATTGCCTCTGCTTCGGCCCCTCCACCATGGCTGTGTCCAGAAAGATGTTGGGAAGGTCTCCTGGTCTAATTAGAATTTTACCCTTTTATTAGTATAAATGAGCAAATGTTTCTAAATTCCATATATTCTAATTTAGATTGCTTTAATGATAATTGCTCTGGGAATGTGTCATGAACATTATTTTCCCTTTATGGCTGAACTGGACATGGGGATGTTCATTGGGCAGTAAGTACTGCCATATTGCATAGATGAATTTGAACTGGACTGGAGTTTCATTGGTGATAGGGTGTGTCTGAGCTTGGGGTGGGATAGATTCCAGAGTGAACCACTATAGATATTGTCCAGTAATATAGAAAGGAAAGTGAACTTTGCCTCCTCTGCATCAGATATGTTCTTGAAGTCTTTTTAAAAATATATATATATTTTTTTTAATTGATTTTTTACAGAGAGGAAGGGAGGATAGAGAGTAAGAAACATCAATGAGAGAGAAACATCAATTAGCTGCCTCCTGTACACCCCCCACTGGGGAAGTGCCCACAACCACGGTACATGCTCTTCAGTCCACAGGCCGACACTCTATCCACTGAGCCAAACCTATTAGGGCTATTCTCCAAGTCTTAATCCAAACAGTCATCAGCTGTGGACTAAAGGTGAACCACAGATGCTCTGGGTCTCTTATTCACAGCACTTACTAGATTCCACTATATAAAACTTTCAAGATGTAAATTCATTGTTAGAAATATACCATATTAATAATGGGTTTAATTATAGACTTGGTTAATACAGGCTATAATGACTACTGGATCCTCTATTATTTGCTTCCCATTGAGCTATAGATGCATAAGAGTCTTGTAGACTTTTAGAGTTTAAAAGGATATTAAAAAAAAAAGTTAATGTTTCCTGTTATTACTGTGATTGTCATGTATAATGCTCTGTCAATTACACCTAAAGTTAAATTTCTTTCTCCACCTCACATTCCAATTCCTTGTCAAAATAGCAACCAGATTGTATTTCTTGTGCTGGCAAAATGTTGACATAGATTATTGTCCATTTGCAAAATAGCATTATTTTAATCCTCATTATGTAACCTACAAACATAATTTCACTTAATCTTTATAACAATCAGGGATAGTATTATTATCCACACTTTATCCTTAAAGAAATTGAGATTCACCGGGTTTAGTAGTCCTAAAATCACACAGCCAGTAAGTAACAGGCTCTGAATTTCAGCTCAGGTGTGTCTGACAGAAAGGCTAAGTACTTTTCCCATTAAACATAAATCTATCAATAGCCTAGTTATTAGAAAATGATCTTGAGCTACAAATACCAATAATTCCTATTGAACTTGCACTTTTGTGGGTGATTAGAATAATTGCTCTAAATATTTGTTGGGAATAATCAATAAACTGTTTCCATAACTCAGTGAATACCTGCAAAGAAATTGTACATAATCTTATGTAATGACCAGTAAAATCATTGAGTATAATTTTGGTGACCAACTGGCCAGCTCCGCTAAGCATGAGGATGCGATGATGGAGAGGTTGTAATTACACATTCTCATTCTAATGTGCTATGCCAACAATTAGATTATGTCGTATACTTATTCTTTCTCATTTGAATAAAGGAAGAACATGGCTATTATAAGTGAAGAATATTGCAGAGAGTTAAGTCAATATGACAATGAATTCATTAATACATTCATTAAATACTTAATGAGCATCTACTATAGGCCATATATTGGAGGATATAGCAAGGGACATTCTTATCTCATGGAGTTGCATTATAATGGGAAAGCAGACTATAAACAAGTAAATTTATTATATTTACTGAAGGCCTGGTGCCCGGCACTCATGCACTGGCAGGGGTGTCCCTCAGTCCCTTAGTGCTGTCACAGAGGCAGTAGAGGCTCCTGCCACTGCTGCTATGCTCACCAGCGGTAAGCCCGGCTTCTGGCTGAGCGGCACTCCCCCTGTGGGAGTCCCATTCACCCAGAAGCAAGGCTCACTGCTTCTTAGCGCTGCCTCAGAGACAGGAGAGGCTCCCATCACCACTGCTGCACTCGTCAGTTGTGAGCCTGTTGGTGAGCCTGGCTTCTGGCTGAACCACGCACCCTGTGGGAGCACACTGACCACCAGGAGGCAACTGACCCTAGAGGTCAGTGCACATCATAGCGACCAGTTGTTCTGCTGATCAGTTAATTTGCATATTAGCCTTTTATTATATAGATATTTACCTATACGTGCACAATACATATAAGGTTTTTATATATGATTATGTGAATGCATATAGTTTCAGTTTATAAAAAGTGCTATAAGGAAACATAAAGCATATTAATATGAAAAGAAAATGTTATTTTAGATATTATATAATCAGAATACAAATACAATGTTGAAGAATATCTGTGCGCTGTTTAATCATTGGCCATTTGAAGGCTTGGCTGTTGTTTCCTCTTTCTAAGTACAAGGCAGAAAATATTTTAGTTCATTAAAAGTAGCTTTTGCAAAGCAGTGCATTCGATTTTCCCAAGAATGTTATACTACGGATTTTATATTTCTAAACTTAATGTTGGAGAACTTGAATAAAAATTCTAAATCTGTCTGAAAAACAATTATACCTAGGAGCTAGAATATCTTTGCTGTACCATTTTATTTCATCAGCTTACATAAGAAAACAATTTTATGAAGATACTAACACTACTATGCAATTAAGGTTGGTTGCAAAACCAGTTTTAATCTATTTTTCCAGGCCATATTTTCCTATTAGTGATAAAGTTCAAAGACATTAAGTTTAGAGTATTAAATTTTAATGCTGGAACTCAGTCTTCAGAGTAAAAAGTGAGTGGCATTGGCAAAACAAAATAAAACAAAGACCCATAAGGGAAAAAAACGCTACTGTGTAAAATTCCTCTCCTAAGAAAAAAACAAATTTGATCCATTAAATATTTAATATTTACTTTTTACATCATTGAATTAATTTCATTTTAGAAGATTGTGTAAAATACTATAATTTAAATTATTTTTCTTTCTGGTAGTTTTATTGTGCTGAACAAAAAACCAGAACAACCATAATTTTGGAGAAAATTTAAAGACATAGAAAACTTTTATCATTTAGAAATTTGGCTTTGAGGTTCACCTGAATTTATCTTCAAGGATACAGTGTCTAACACCTTGAATACACCATCTACTGAATGAAACACCACCTCACATCAAAGCAAAAAACATGCAATAGATATCAAAGCGGGAAATCTCTTGTTTGATCAGCATCAGTGAAAATTAAGTAATCCTTTTCACATTCTCTTCCAACTCTGAAAAGTGAAACCTCCAGTCCTACCAGGACAATACAGACAAGATTAGTCCACCATTTGGGACTGGGTCAATATACATTCAAATCCTACACAGACAAGCCCTGCTCAGTTATGGAAGCTGACAGGGTCCTTGCTCCAGGTGATAAGGCTTCAGGCATTGCATACACCTCACCACCTGCAGCAGAATAAACACTGACAACTTGACAGTTTGTCAATGGAAAGCCGTTCACTCTTTCTGAGACTTGGAGATACTGGGAGTGGAAACAATTTTGTACACCATCTAGTAACTACCGTCTTTATTTGTATGGTAAGGTTTTCCCTTGATAAGTACCCTTGAAGACATTGTGTGTGTGTGTGTGTGTGTGTGTGTGTGTGTGTGTCCAGGTGAAAAAACTGCCCAATGTATAAATAGAGCTCTGGCAATTCACAAACTAATTCATAGTAGCCTTAAAGTTACTTGAGAGCTTAAAAGTAGAAACAGATCACAGTAGATGCACATACAGCTAATAAAATTATATTCAACACTGTAAAGAAACAAGTATCATAAAACTCATACTACTGGTTATACTACTCAGAAGGGAGGAGTGTGGGGATGAAGTATGAGGGGGTGTTTAGGATGTTTGGTCTGACCCATTTCTTTACCGTAGTAGTAGTTGTTTCCTTGAAACTAATTCATGAAACTATCCTAATATTTTTTGCAGTTTTCTATGTTTACTATGCTTCAATATAAAACAATAATTAAAACACATTAAACTATTTTCAACTCTTCTAGTATAAATTTACCAAGAGGTTTTTATTGCTGATTAGAACTCCTTAGATTTATCTAAGTTTCTCTGCATCCTATACTCAACACTGAAAAGGAATAGATACTAAAGAATCTCTTAACTCAATACAGCAAGTTTATACCCTTAGAAATTTATAGTTATGAACCCTGTATGCACATGTAATTACCTTGAGTTTTTTTCCTACCACAAATACATAAAAGTGGCAAATTCAAACTATAGCAGCCATTTTCTCAGGGGCTTTTATATTTTTCTCAAGAAAGGTATAGTTCAGGGAGTTCATGAAATATTCCTTACTGCCCTCAGCTTCTTCTTACATGCGATCTGAGGTATAGCGTCAGAGCTCAGTTTCTGCAAGCCATTTGCTACTTATGCATGCCACATAGAGAAGCTGAAATGCTGAAATACCAGTTTTATAGAAGGACTTCACTCCTACTAAATGAAATTCCTCTAAGCTCTTTTTTCTGATGTTGTGCATGTTACAAGTTTAAAACCAAGCAGCTATGCTTGTACAAATATTAAATTCATTACTTTACAAAAATTATTATAACGAATGAAAGATTATGCTAGTTCCCTAGGAAACCATCAGATTCCTGTACCCTTCTTCCTTTAAATTATTCTAAAGCATAAATAGAATTCATTGACTAACACTTCTGGTAAGTACGTAAAGACATTTAAATGTCTAATTCTGACCCCTTTCTTCTCTTTTAAACTACAGTAGAAGCTATAATGTATACTGTGAATGTATTGTATGAAGATAATAAAACACAACTATAGTTACTGTAGGAAAGCATATTTATCACTGTTTCTGGTCTTACTTTGCGAATGCCTCGGCCAAGCTCCTCTCCATAATTGGTTCCAAGAATTTCAAAGTGGACGTTGGGATTGCCTCCATTTTCTCCAAATTCCAGCTCTCCAGTCAACCCACTCACTCCACCCTACAGCAGAGAAAAGGTACTGATGTAAGATTTCAGGAAAAAGGTAAAATAGTAATAATAATAATAATGTATAAAAGAAAGTTCTAGTAAAACAATTTCCATCTATAAAATAAACATTATTTCAGGCATGCAATTATGAATAGGCTACTTTTTAATAAGTGCACAGCTTAAATTGAAGATCAATTGAAAGTAATCTTGAGAATCACTTAATCCAAGTTTATCCACTTCACAGACAGAATATTTAGACCCAACGAGTCAAACGATTACACAAACTGACAGGATGTTTCAGCTGAGACTAAATCCCAGGCTAGGTTTGTTGCCTTCATACTACCTTCTGACACATAAAGATCCACCCGTCAGAAAACTAGACGCTCTCGGAGAGAAGAGATCTACTCTGGAGACACATTTTGACAATATTCTTTTTCAGCACAATGCCATTCTAATTGGATCTAAAATTATTTCTTGGATTCTAAAAGTCATGGTTTATAAGCTATTAAAGCCCCAAACCCCCTTCTTTAAATATCTTGTCTAACTGTAAAAAAATAAATCTAAATTGGATGTTTTTAAAAAAATCTAAATCTGTTTTTGCTCTTAGGCAGTGGTGCTGACTATTGAGATTCATTGGGAATTTCCAAGCTTCGTCGCTCATTCAACAAGGCAGGTCTTCATTTCCCCAACAGACGGAAATGTAGGTCAGACTTCTCTCTTTCTTGTTTACCGTTCTTTTCTCGGTTTAGTTAATCACTTAGGATTTTACAAGTAAAAATCATTTTTGGAATAACTTCTAAACTACAGTACTTCTAACTTGGAATTTTAGCCTGATAATCACATTTATCTGTACAAGTATCTCAGTTTGTACATCACTTCAAGTATCACTTCTATATTGTTTGATAATTAAATATGCAGAGAGCCCCCAATTTATGACAATTTTTACTTACGCTTTTTTTTTTCAACCTTGCAATGGTGCAAAAGCAATTCAAATCTGGTATAAATAGTACTTGAGATATTGATTTTAAAAAAATATATTTTATTGATTTTTTTTTACAGAGAGCAAGGGACAAGGACAGAGAGCTAGAAACATTTATGAGAGAGAAACATCAATCAGCTGCCTCCTGCACACCACCTACTGGGGATGTGCCCACAATCAAGGTATATGCCCCTGACTGGAATTGAACCCGGGACCCTCCAGTCCACAGGCGGACACTGTATCCACTGAGCTAAACTGGCCAGGGCAGGGATTTTGATTTTTTATTGTTATACCCCTAATGTCCGATACTCTGGTGATGCTGGTCAGCAACAGTGAGCGCAGCTATGAATCAGCAATGAAATCACAAGGGTAAACCACTGGTACTCTCCAGTGCACTTGGTTACCAGCCATTTTTTTTTTTTTTTTTTTTTTTTGGGAGTTTGTGTTCTGAGCACATTAAGGTAAGTTTGAATAAGCTATGATGATCGGTAAGTTAAATGTACTAAATTCATTTTTGATGAACAATATTTTCAACTTAGGTTTATAGGGACATAACCTCATCATGTCACAAGGCACTCTGTATTTCATTTACCATACCTCTAACACTTCTGTTTTTTTATTGGCAGGTATTATGCTATCTGCTATATCTCTTACTGCACATGTGTCTTATATCCATTGCTTGATGCTAAGTTCATAACAAGCATTCAATAAAACTATTGCTTACTCATTACTTTCAGTATTTAGTCTATTTCATTTTTTCAACAGTTATAACCAACAAAACTGTTCTTCCATAACTATTTCCTAAAAAGCAACTTCTCTTTTGTTATCCAATTTTATTAATAAAATATGTTGAATTTGATGGTTCTGTGCTCTTCTCATGTATGATTTAGTCTATACCATGAACTTGGTCTATGTTGTCAGAATCTACTAGTTGTATAAACCTGGTTAAGTCATTTAATTTCTCTATGTCCCAATTTTAACATCTGTTAAATAGGATTATTATAAAATAATAGTACCAAACCCAGAAGACTATTATGAGTTTTACATTACATATAAAAAAATATAGTAGAGTGTTCAATAAATTGTGGAACTTTAATATCATTATCACTAGCATTATCATTATGTGATTTTTTTCATTCTCTATTTTTGAAGGCTTTCTAATTCTGCTAAAAATTGTAAGCATGATCCTGATTTTTTTTCAACTAATGTTTATTAGGGTGACAAAATTTCACTATATGCTTGAATATTCACATAGCTTTGGAAAATATTTTTGCAAAATTTGACCCAATTACATTTAACCAATTAGTGTTTGGGTAGAAAAGAATTAATCAACTGATCTAGGACCTATTCACTCCTTTTATTATTGGAGGGCAGGGATAGATGAGAAAAAAATAAAGGAGGTAAATTACCCAATTCTTTCAAGTCTATTATATCTTGCATGTTTGCTCATACTAATATTTGAAAGAATTCAATTATCACTTAACATTTTAAAGATCAGGATAAGTGTAGTGGATCTTATAATCATTAATATCTCCAAATGACAAATACTGTGTGAGTTTGACTTACAAATATAGTATGTATTATTACATTTAAGTTCAAACAACTGGTATTCAATAACATTTTATAAGAGCTTATCTTGTCCTTAATCACACTTCAGTAATATCCCTAAAATGCCATAATCTTATTTTTTATCATAGTGCTATATTTCTAAGAAAAAAAGGAAATATATTGTATATTACTATGATTGTTTCATTGCAAAAATGCTATACCTGTGTAATTTCTAAACTTTTAAACATTAGAATGCCTGGCACTGAGAGGGAGAGAGAGATAGAAACATCAATGATGAGAGAGAATCATTGATTAGCTGCCTCCTACATACCCCCTGTGGGGATCAAGTCCGCAACCAGGGTATGTGCCCTTGACTAGAATCAAACTGGGACCCTTCAGTCTGAAGGCCAACACTCTACCCACTGAGCCAGCTAGGGCTTTATGTTATACTAGAGTCCTGGTTCACGACATTCATACTATGGGGTGGGGGTCCCTCAGCCCATCCTGAACCCTCTCGCAGTCTGAGACTCCTCCGGGGCTGTCTGCTTGCTGGCTTAGGCCCACCCCCCACAGTTGGACATCCCCCAAGGGATCCTTAGCACTGCCACAGAGGCGGAAGAGGCTCCTGCCAGCACTGCCGTGCTTGCCAACTGTGATCCTGGCTTCTGGTTGAGCAGCACTCCCCTGAGGGAGCTCACTGACCACCAGGAGGCAGCTCCTGTGTTGAATATCTGCCCCCGGTGGTCAGTGCATGTCATAGCAACTGATTGTTTCCCCATTTGGTCTATTTGCATATTAGGGTTTAATTATATAGGATTCTTAATGAACTGTTAGCATGCTTAACCAGTAAAACCTTCTCATGAAGGTAGAAGGGATGCTTGAGAAGTTAGTATTTCAAGCAAATAAATCCTTCAAATTAAGCCCTCTGTTATCTGACCCACACTTAAATTCTGATTTTTGATTGCTCAAAAATATTCCCATGCTCTTCACCTTCTTCCCTCCCCCCCCCACACTTATCCTCATATCAGCCCTGTAAACAAAGCCTTGGCAAGGTGGCAATGAACAGTCATTGTCTTCGTGCATGCACAGTTATGGTTTTTATCTCTTGATGATATAGCAGATTCTAAACAAAATAAGCTAATGGGGCATTGATAGTATGAATAACACATACAAATGATTTCTAAATGTCCTTTAAATTGAGAGTAAAATTTGCTGCCAGAGGAAACCACTAAAATCCAACTAAAATTGGTTTGGATTGCATCCTACCCTCTCCCCAGTGAGCATCAAATCTGGGAAGCATAAGAGAAGAAAAATTAAAAGTGTAGAATCAAAGTTGAAAAAATTTACCATTGGATAACCAGTTTCTGAAAAGGAAAAATATTGTTCCTCAGCAAATAGGATACATTGGAAACAAGAAGAAAAAATATTACTAAAAATTTATTTCACTCTATTTATGAGGCCAAAGAATTTTCTTCTATTCTTAAATCCTCAAAGTAACATGGATTCTTTTGGTAGATCATATGGAACAGCAAATATTTTATACTCATCTCATTTCCTTATACATATTCCTAGGCTCCTTTGCAACCTACAGATATGCTTGGTAACCAAGGACACTCTGTGAAATAATCATGAGCCCATCAAGGCGGTGAATGCATTGAGAGATGCCAGATCAGTGGCATGTCCTGATACCCGCATGTTTCATAAGTTAATTTCAGATAGAGAAATACCCACAGAAGGAAAATACTACATTTGATACTCAGAAAATAAATATAATGGGTAGATAAATATTAAGATAAAAGATGCAAAAGAAAAAAAAATTGAAAACGAAAAATAATTTCTGTGAAATGGTTAGTGGAATTTGAGTTGCCAAATAATATTTATATATGTGTATATGTGCATATAGATAGATATATAAACATATATTTACATATATACCTTTATACTCAAATATTCATTCATAATAGAGACTGAAGGCAAACTAATAATAGGAGGTTACTAGCTTACTAATCATGCTATTTACATCTTAGAAAAGAAGAAATTGAGGCCCAGACAAATAGCTACTTGAGCAACCTGAAGTAAAACCTTCATCGTGTGCCTCATACTTTTTCATCTAAATTATGTAAACTGAGTGTTCGATATAATATATGTATATCATGATGGATTGCTTAAAATATATGCTGAGATATCTTAAATTAAACTACCATTTTACCCACTTTATTATTCAAATGCCCTTGAAGTTGGAGTATACATTAATGAGTCCACAAGGGATATTTCAAAGGCAGGCTAATTTTTTAAAGACACTTGTGGCAACAAGTTTATTTGTGCACATTTTGTAAAAAGTCTAACTTATATTTCAAGTCAATACTGTTTCTGGCAAGTCAGGTTATGTTTTCCAAAACTCACTCTCTCCTTCAGGTGTATGAATTCTACATGGTACCTAGTGACTTATATAAAAAACTAAAGTAATGGGTTTTCATTCCTCAAG